CCACAACTACAATAGCTAGAGACTTCAAATTTTCACTAAAAGCTTCCTGCTATAGTGTAGATGTGCAGGCACTAGTCTATTTTGAGTTACATTACTTGTGAGATAGACAATTGAAGAAAATAATTTCGATATGGGTTTCGGAGGTGCTATAATTTTACCGTTAGATAGCGCTACCAGTATAAAAACTTATTATTTACTTTGTGATTTGTTTTACAAAATGAAGACGTACCGTGAATTGAAATTAAATAAAATTAATTATTTAACGAAGCCAAAATTACTCGTGAGATCGATAATTTTAAACTTCGCTAATAAAATACTGACCTGCATTACCAAAAATGCGCTTTAATCATGCATATGCTGATTTACAACTTGTTTATATTCGTATAATCGCAAGCTACATATTTCATATACGTCATTTTGGTCCGGGAGAAAAAGGTAGTTTAGTACGATTTACCACCCCATTTGTAGTCGCGGTGCCAAGGGTTGCGGCAAGTTGCGCCCCGGCACCGTGACTTTTTCCGATAAAACTCATCCATATGCACCCTTTAGTACTCTTCCTGAACGTCTGGGACAATAAAGTACATTTTCCAAAAATAAGGGGCGAAGTTAATTTTTTTTTAATTGCTTTCGGCAGGATTTTCGCCGGCACCGTTGTCGATTCTAATACAACTTTTTATGGCGAATCCTATGAAAATTATTAGAATCGTCCAGGCGTTCAAGGTATACTTTCCTACTGAGCTCTTGGACTATAAACAAAAAGTCGGAATAGGTCAAAGAAAGAAAAAATGAATAATGTCGCTATTTTCTGAAAAACCGGAAAAAAGGGTCATTCCTATATACTATTTTGATTATTATAACAAACTCTGATATTTTTGTTTTTCGCTCGGTTTTTCGTTTAACTTTTGTATTTGTTTATTAATTATTATATTTAATTTAAGAATTAAAAGTTATTTTTATATTCAAATTAATTGTGTTTTATTTTAATTAAAAAAATATAAATTAGAAGAAAACTATTAAGGTGGCGTTTACAATGTATGGTAAACTAGTACAAAAGTGTCATTGCGATTTCCACAATAACTTTGTTGCGAAGTAAAAGAATGACCTTCTGGAAACGATCGATTGTAGTTAAAGGTTTAAACTTGTGAATGAAGTAAATTTTGTAACAAATTGTTATCAGTGTGGGATAAAAATGGAAGATAAATATGGCTAATTTTTAAGATTCTTATTTCTTAAATAACAGTGTAAGTACAGGAATTAGCTAAATAATTTTTGCTTCATGCAAATGTCTGAACATTATATATTTGAATGAATGTTATTTCAACCAAAAATGTTGACTCTAAAGGCCGTTTTTGTGGAAAGAAAATTTCTTGACGACATCTATTGAGCCAAGGCACATCATCACGGCAACGCCATGATCTCCAAATGTATTCATCGTTATCGGGTGCGATTCTATGCTACACAGTTTAGCAATTATAAGAGGGAGGTCGCTCACGTCATTAGAGGGCAAAGTACATTTTATTCAATGAAAGTACGTAATTTGAATTTCGTACGTAGGACGCATGGAATTTTAATTTGATATTTGATATTGTATTGTATTATTGAAATACGAATTATTTCCTGAGATGCTGTTTTTCAAAGTAAAGCGTGCATATCTTTTACATACGATAACCAATTGGTATCAGATTTTGCATACGCATGCCTTTAGTGGTGCCAAGTTAAACTGTACAAAATTGGAGGGGGGGGGGCATGTACTACCCTTCACGGTATTCTAATGAAAGGTCTCATCGAAATAAATTGGTTTGTACAAAGTATAACTTTCCCGTGCGACTCTTTTTCGAGATCAGTGAGCGACGAGGCCCGAGGGGGAGGGGGGTGTTAAAAATTAATGTTATCTCTCATTGTATTCTAATTAAAGGTCTCAACGAAAGGAGCGGTTTTCCGTTTTCTACCAACTACTGCCCTTCTTTCTGTCCTCTAATCAAAGTACTGGGTGGAGAGGGGGGGAGTGGAACTAGTTTTATCCTTCATGGTACTCTAATGAAAGGGCTCAACGACAGGAATTAATTTCTACAAACCATAGCCTCGACCTCTTATCGTGTTCGGGTATATTCCCTTATACCTCAAGAACAGATTGTCGGAATAGGGTACTCACAAAGGGCGATTGAGACGTCTGCAAGAAATATATCCATTGGTGATGTCATATGCATATGCATGCCTTTAGTGGTGCCAAGTTAAGCTTTAGAAAATGGGGGGGGGGGGCATGTACTACCCTTCACGGTATTCTAATGAAAGGTCTCATCAAAATAAATTGGTTTGTACAAACTATAACTTTCCCGCGCGACTCTTTTTCGAGATCAGTGATTTTTACTTACCTGGTAAACTGTGAATGCAACAAAGTAATAACAGTTTTCACAGTGACCACATTTAATAATTAATAATTAAACGAATTTATGTAAAATATGTAACGACTTTACTTGTTAATTTACGAAATAAAAATTCACTGCACTAACGCGATGGAACACTAAATATACCTACTTGTGTCGAGAAAACTCAATTTCCTGTACCTATACTCGCATTTCATGATATGTAATAAAAAAATAAACCAAACAGAATATATCTCTCTCAAGTTCATATTACCTACATTACAACAGAGCATTATCGTCAATGCGTTCTTATGCCAGACGTTTTATTATTTTATTTATTTATTATCTCTCTCTTGTTCTGGGCCCTCAACAGGTTTGCGCCCAATTACAGAGTGACCCGCATAATGCTTTTTAGAGGTGTCTCTGCAGAAGGTCTAAAATTCTCATCTCTGCCACAGATGAAAAATTCACCTCAACCCAGGTTGGAACACCCGACCTCCGGATTTATAGCCCAACTCTCTACCACTGAACCTCATTGTAAGCTAAATGCCTAGTTAACGTTTTCTTGGAACGTGCTTAAGTCGTCCACAAACAAATGCCCACTAAAAGGGATTAAATTTCTTTGGGATGCGCTAAGTGATAAGTGGAAATGAACCACCACTGAAATTTTGCGTCTTATTCAGTTTCATCAATAAATTTATTTGTTATTTAAAATCTCATCTTTTTAAATTTTTATGTCTTTTTTGCGAATTTTTTGTCGTAATTGCATTTTTTATTTTGCATTTTCGCTGATTTTTAACGTCATTAAAATCCTAGCACTATTTATAAGTATGTGCTGTATTTAGTTTCTTGCACCATTAATAAATTATTAACACGTTTCTCTTCTGCAATTAAAAAAAACTATATTCTAATTGATTTTCGAGAAAGCAATACTTTAAAATGAAGCAAAAAAATTGGCCGGTAACCTATGCAATTACACCTGGGCCGTAAGTACCCAGTCCGCCCCTGCGCAAAGGGCACTGTGCATGCTGATCGATTAGGCTCAACTTTTGGAATTGTGTTTTATATGGTTAAAGCTATGCGCATATTGAATTTCATGCAATTCGGTTCATAACTAACGGAGGTGTCAAAAGGGCCTACTTTATTTTTTGGTCTACATACCAATTCATGAACTCCGATCTACAAATTTGATAAAGAATCCACCTGCAAAATTTCACCGTAATCGGTCCATTCGTTTATGACTTATCGTGCTAACCGACGGACGGACAGACGGACAGAACCGCAAAATTATAAACTCGCTAGAAGTTCGTTAATAACTGTTTTATAATGACATGATAGTCAATTTAGAAATAGAATCTTGGATTTTGATAATACAGAGGCTGATGTAATCCTGCAAAATTTTCGCTAGTTCTTCGGTTCGTAGATATCCTTCATGAGGTTGCAATGAATTATAATTATAGGTCTATAATCTAACTCATTACTTTAGTAGGTAGTACAAAAATTTGCTCGCGAGCATGAAATGGAATACGCCGCAGCCCGGAGTTATTAAAATAATGCACTGTTGAACGAAATGTTTTTACCAAATTATTTACAGCTTTATTTACAAATTTTTGCTAAGGTGCGCTAAGAACTTATACCATTTTCAAATTTTTGAGATCTAAGCGCAAATAGTAGAATTCGGTGCTACATCCTAGATACTCATATAGGATGTAGCAGACACAACTATTCTTGCCAATTTTTCGAAAATTTTTAGACGGCGCATGCCTAAACGAGGGTGCAAAGAAAATTGCGACAATTTTTGACATTCCCTATTCAATTTCGTACAAGGTCAATTTATTATTTTTAGAGAAAATAGGTATTTTTACTTATTTGGGAAGATAAAGCACTTGGTAATACAATTAATTACAACGAAATTAATAGCGGTAAACGTCAGCAACCGAGAAAGCTGAATATGAATTGAATACAAATGCTAAAAACCCAGTTCTATAAATTACAGATATCAAATTACAGCGATCGTCCTCGGTGTATTATTATCTCGACAGTTGCGCCTTATCTGTTTATTTTTACGTTCGAATATGGTAGGTCGCGGAATCTTGTGGTGGATAGCGACACTATTCTAATATTTCGGGCGGTGCGGGGAGTGATTTCCAAATTCTTCAATGTAAACACCACCTTAAGAACTTTTCAGGAAAACTGTCACAACTACTAATTATGGATGAAACCTAAGCTTAAAGGTGTTTTTAAAACATATTTTTTGCTCGATTTTTTGTGTGCCAATCAAAGTACATAAAGGTTTCTTAAAAATGACCAATTTGTTTTATCATAGCTTTTATTCTCCCGGAATAATAAAAAAATATATAATGGTCAAATTTTTAAACCTGTCTCCTGAAAATTAGCACTTTTTGAGTTGTGACAATCTTGTTCCAAACCAACAATGTAAACACATGTAATAAGATGTGCATTTCATGCAACTGTCTCTTTGTGAATTCATTGCTGTTAATGTTTGTATGTAATATATAATGCTCTGGGAATTGAGATACAGCAGCTGCATTGGAGCAATGTAGGGACTATAGGAAGTAGATCACACTGTAAAAACCAGCATTACGATTTATGTATCAATTATAATAACATAATGACAATGTGCCAACAATCCCAGTAAACAAGCCAAGATTCCTTACTAATTTTATAAATACTACTTATTAAGTGTGCTTACTAGTAAATATTGATTCAGAGAAGTTGCGCAATGAATCACTGCCGACTTTATATCAATACACATATTAAAGTACATTAATTGTTATTACCTGATCCATACGAATAATTCCTTCCGCCAATGTTTTAAAGCCCAGCATTGTGCGATTTTTGTAACGTTTCCTGCGTTGCAATAGAATGTGCAACTTATTTCCATCTCGCTTAAGGAAATGCGGATATTGCAAACTGAAAGTCAATTCTAATCCGGTGTCAAGCAAACCGTTTGGCGGTAATAACAGTTCGTTCGAACGTAATGTGCGTTTACTAGATTGCATTTTAACAGCAATAGATATGGAAGCCAAATCTGCTCCGAGTGGTCGTAAAACTACTAATCGAGACAATGTAAGGGAACATAATCTGTAAGCGAAAGTTACAATAAGAACATTGAGAAATAAATACCGCTACCTTGGAATGCAATTGGAAGGAGTCCTATCGACTTCCCATGTAGCAAATAATTTCATAGGGACTGGCTTAGAAGGAATACCAGTCCCCGCCCCAATCACCGTTTTGTTAGTTTTATCGCCCATCTCTTGGAAAAATATTTTGGGACTACGCCTTTCCGATCTAATTACGCACTTCGATTAGAACATTGCTCCAATTAATCGAAGTTAATTGGTTTCATTTACAAAACGCATTTTTTCGCGTATTATTTAACATCGCGTCAACTATGAATCACTTAATTTACAAGCACGGTCAAGTTATTTATTTATTATTACTGGAATTGACGTACGTCAAATATCAAAATTCAAACAAAGGCATAAAGATTCTCTGCAGCGTTGTGACATCTCACATTCTTCGGTAAATTTAAAACTTCCTTCTGAGGGCGCTCGTTAATGTTGAATCTCCAAACCATTCAAACTACTATAATTCAATGCTACGATTGTATAGTTGACATACCATTGATTTGTGTATAATCAATGACAATACTTACCTAAAGCGAATTCACATTCATCCGATATCGAATAATATGAAATGGAATCTCATTAGTGAAATTTGTTGGAACACAGCACTTGGAACCAGAGACTTGTTACTACTAGACCGTGCCAATGACCGTGCATAGCTCAAGTTGTATGTTGTCAACATGGTAGGCCACCCACCGAACTCGTAAAGGCAAGAACTTTCGCGCTCCAATCTTCACTATTTGTTTTGCTGGGATTATATCGCTAAACTGGGCTAGTTTTTCAGTATATTTTAAACTTTCCTTGCTGAATCGAAAGCGCACACTTTCTAGACACATAATGTTCTCAGAAAAGTTTATAAACGGTAATAATGAAATAAATGTAATCCAGTGTAAATTTTCGTATAAGGTATTTTTTTACCGGATAGTTACATCTAGGTATAGTTATGTAGAATGGAATGAAAGCAGCAGAAAAACACAAGAATATTTTGAGAAACAAACTTTGCGATAGTGTAACAGAGATATAAATTTGTTTATTCGGCGTCTTTGTTGTAAGTCGCGCAGAAATCTCCACGGATGTAATTTGTTTCTAGCACTTCAAGAATCAAGATCATATCATCATCATATATATCATAATCATGTCCTGCAGGCTGCAGTGAATGAACTTAATACTGAAGGTATTCTTTACAATACGTATTCATTACGAAAATAGGAAAATAAACGAAGTATATGTGAGAATTAGACATTTATACAACAAATTAGTAGGTATTGTTTAAAAGCCAATAAACATTTTTATGTCGATAAGCACATTTCATTTTGCCATTGAATACAATTCTTATGCAATGGTTCGCGCTTTGCCTTTACGTGTATGATGTGTTGCCTAAGCATGTTGGGAACACTCTTTTATACGCGAGTACCATTGTATGCGCGGTCTAAAGCATAATCATATTTGTCATATGATTTTGCTTATGATATCATACGTTGTAAGATTTGTGTTTACACCATGTGTTTTTTATATAAAAATATATTATATTGTATATGTTTTGGTAGTACCTACTGCATATTTAATGAGATATTTGATGTACATTTTCCGGTGCAACCTTTGGTCGAAATCACAGTCGTTGTGAGCACAAAAGTAAATTTCGAGAGCTGTTCTTGAGATATATTTGTTAACGTTTCGGGGTGAAATACCCTGCACTCTTTTTCATTCGAACTCGAGCTTCGGCGACGGCCTTGTCTGGGTCTATAAAATTATCACTCGGCGATGCGTCCGCCAAAAACTGTAACGTAGCAGCCAGTCTTGGGTTTCTTCCAAACTGCAGTACTGCCGGCGCATAACCAGTCACCGAATGTACTGTAGAGTTTAAATTATCCTCTATCGCAGGTATCTCAACCGTCCAAGTACTTTCCTTATCCGCAGTGAGTGTTGCCCGCAACAAATTAAAAACGGTTCGCATGACACGCTCAACTTGTCCATTTCCGCGCGTCACACCCGTTGCAATGTGATAAAGTTGAATACCCTGTTCGCCGAGAAAGTTTTTAAACATAACTGACGTGAAGGCTGCTGCCCTATCGGCCACGATCCGTCTGGGTCTTCCTAATTCTTCAAATACAGGTAATAATGCTCGAATTGTATGCTCAGATGTTTTCTTTGGTATCGGTTGTAATTGACAAAGTTTCGAAAATCCATCAATTATCACCAAAATCTGTGTGCAGCCATTAGATCTTACTAAGGGTCCTGCGTGATCAATGTGCCATGTATCCAGTATGTCGTCTGGCTTCTCACCCTGTTGCCATAATCCTTGGCGACGACCGGTGTGTGATTTCCCCATGACACATGCGCTACAATTCCTAATATACTTTTTCAAACATTGTCCCATTTTTGTCCAAAATAAATCTTCTCTCATTTTTGCGATGCATTTGTCCCACCCTATATGAGATGATTCATCGTGGTATAATTTCATTGTCAATAAACGAGCAGCGACGGGTTACGGGTACAAAACACTTTGGAGCTGCTGTTTTGGTAACAACCACATTGTTTATTATTTTGAAGTTTGGGTTACTATCCGGATTATTAAATATTTCTTGACAAAACGCGTCATTGTTTTGAAATTCCTTTAGTGTTTTTATGTCTGACATTTTATTGATGTTTATGGTTTTCAAAACACGCTCATTATACTCACTATCGACAGGGTTACGGCTTAAATAGTCCACATGAGACATTTTACATCCGGGTCGATAGGTATTCGATCGTAAAATCGTAATCTTGTAACTTAATCCACCAGCGCGCTACGCGTGGATGTAAATCTGTTGCTCGCACCGAATTACAGTCTGTATACACCGTAAAATGGACACCGTATACAGGTACACGCGAAAATGTTCGACTGCTTCCACTATAGCCAATGTTTCTAAGTCATAGGAATGGTACCTAGACTCGTAATCAGTAGTTCTACGACTATAATAAGCCACAGGTTGAACACCACCATTTTCTTTCTGAAGCAACGCACCACCAATTCCGACGGAACTCGCGTCAGTTCGTCAAGCTGTTGTTGCTGGGTAGCTAACAAATTTATTAATGTCTCTTGCCACTGCACCCTTGCACGTTTTGGACTCGGTAACACTTCTTCTCCGAATCCTGTAACCTACTCTGTTCTTTTACGGGAACGTCACGATTATCACTTTCTTTGTCAGCCATTTTCACCTAAGTCTTATATTGTTTTTACTTTGATTAACCACAGGATGCACAGGATCATCCCACTTCTGATGTTAACGTTTCGGGGTGAAATACCCTTAATAAAACGCAAGGTTTCCTGACTCAACTTTTATTCGCTTTAATACAACGCATTTCTCCGTTACTCGATTGCTCACTGTGCTGTGTACTGTGTTCAGTGCCGACCTCCGCAGCCTCTTATGTTGTTACCGCCACCGTCCTCCGCCTGTGCGTCGCTCCCCGTAGGATCCACACTCGGCCGTCCTGCAGAACATGACATCATCCATACCGGATGTCCGCTAACATATTTACAAATGTTAGGTAACCATTTTGCTCGAAGTACTGGTTCATTTGGAAAACTAAGAAACATAAACAAGGTACCTACAACCTCGCCTACAACATGATAAATGACATGTCTTACCGATGAAAGGAAATGCCCTGTTTCTTCCCTTTATGAGAAATTTTGCATGATACGCAGCTAATCATTCTCAATTCACAAAATTGCGTGTGATAAAAACACATGCGGCAGTTAGTTATTTATATAAACCAGAGCACAAACCGATCCGAAATTATTAGGTACTTTAAAATGGCAAATTTAATAAAATTTGAATTTGGTGGAAAACTGACAGTGACAGGACCCGCGTTTTCATGTGCCAAATAATGTCGGCCAAAATGTACCTTCACGGGAACCTATCCACGCGAGTGGCCTCTATAGCCTGTTTCACAATTGACGCCAACGTGAACGCTAACGCGAACGTGAACGTGAGCATTTAATTAAAACATGAATATTTACTATTTCCATTCTCATATAACGCAACGGGAACGTGAAAACGTGAAACAAACGCGAAAGTTGGTCAACTTTTATCTTTCCCGTTCCCGTTGGCGTTTTAAACATGCGCGCGCTTGCGATCCAGCCACATAACCTTTAAAGATCAACGAAAGATAAGTTGTGACGATGTGCGATAATCCAGGTTTCGATGAATTGTTAATTATGTGTGTAGAAAAACATTTTTTAGGTTAGTTCAACTACCACAGAACACATTTTAATAAACAAAATATTCCGTGACAAAACTTAGCGTAACGTTAATTGTGAGACTGCGAATTTGTTCATGTTCACGTTACCGTTTGCGTTTCCGTTGGCGTTTACGTTTGCGTCAATTGTGAAACAAGCTTATCTGACGTTGAGATAAAAGGGCTAAACTCCGTACAATCTGCGCATGCGAAAGAAACGTCAATGTTGCAATGTTATTAATTAAAATGTAGGTTAGATTATTGTTTTCAATGTTTTCATCACAGGCCGTTATAATGAATAAACATATTCGTAAATCGTAATGTACATTTAAACTCGCACTTTTGAGGTTGTATACCAAGAGCCATGTTTCGCTGCAGCAGTATAAAATCCGAAAAGGACAGTACAAGCCCCATGTTCACAAATCGTAACCCAAGACATTTCAAATACCTACGAATCGCTCATAAACCGGACGGCTACTACTGTGATAAAACTGGAACGCTCCTACTGCCATAAATATACAAATTTGCTTTCCTACCGCCTCCAATAAGATAGCCCGATTGTAGATGGCAATCGACACAAACAGGCCGTCACGTAACTTCATTGTTCGTGCATTACTTCATCGGACCCGACACTCACCGCTAGCACGAAGGAATGGGCCATCAAAACCAGGCTGTATAAGACCATGCACCAAGTCATTGGCGTACGTGAACGTCACATGGTCACGTCCCTGCATTCAATTTAATGTTTGCTACTTGTAGGTTTCAGTTCTTCGTACAAAGATGCCTTGCTAGCGGTCCGACAGAGTTTATATACGATTGCAAACCCCAACACAACGGCAATAAGGTCGCAAAGTTTCTAACGTGCTCCAAGATTTCAATTTGAAATTGTCTGAGCCGGAATAGTCAAGAGAGCCGTGGACGAGAGAAAGATTACCAAAACCGTGGGATATAATCTGACTTGACAGATAATGTGAATCGACCTTAAATTGTGTACCTATTAGGTAGATAGCTGCATAATTTACAATAAAGTTTTATTTGTACTTGTGCTTCCATAGTTTCTGTAAAGAGAAGGCTGAGTATTGGGTCGCTCCAATGAAGTGATAGAAAGCCCTACGTTCAGTTTCCCGAGATGCTTCCCTGTTCTCAAAGGTTCTTCCAAAAAAGGTGCTTTTTACTAATTTCTAGATTGCATGAAAAACCGTTTATTTGATTTTTTAAGAAGTTAATGGGTTTCAAGAACAATAAATTTGATAAATATGTAAACTTTTTATTGCTTACCAATATTTTAAACATTAAATAATAAACTACACAATAATAAAAAGGGCACCTTAGTTATAGTGAATTGGCAATTTCAAATTGAAATCTTGAAGCACATTAGAAACTTTGCGACCTTACTGACGTTGTGTTCGGGTTTGCAATCGCACATAAAATCTGTCGGACTGCTTGCAAGGCATCTTTGTACGAACAACTGAAATCTACAAGTAGCAAACATTAAATTGAATGCAGGGACGTGACCGTGTGACATTCACGTACGCCAATGACTTGGTGCATGGTCTTATACAGCCTGGTTTTGATGGCCCATTCCTTCGTGCTAGTGGTGAGTGTCGGGTCCGTTGAAGTAATGCACGAGCAATGAAGTTACGTGACGGCCTGTTTGTGTCGATTGCCATCTACAATCGGGCTATCTTATTGGAGGCGGTAGGAAAGCAAATTTGTATATTTATGCCAGTAGGAGCGTTCCAGTTTTATCACAGTAGTAGCCGTCCGGTTTATGAGCGATTCGTAGATATTTGAAATGTCTTGGGTTACGATTTGTGAACATAGGGCTTATACTGTCCTTTTCGGAATTTATAGTGCTGCAGGGAAACATGGCTCTTGGTATACAACCTCAAAAGTGCGAGTTTAAATGTACATTACGATTTACGAATATGTTTATTCATTATAACGGCCTGTGATGAAAACATTGAAAACAATAATCTAACCTACATTTTAATTAATAACATTGCAACATTGACGTTTCTTTCGCATGCGCAGATTGTACGGAGTTTAGCCCTTTTATCTCAACGTCTCTATCTGTGGCAACTTCCGCCTACAAAAATTCTTACCCCCTCTACCATTATATTCCCTCCATTAGTTTTCTAACTCAATGATATTATTATACCACAGTCAATAAGTACCAAATAGGTGACAGCACTAATCCTCTTCATGACCTTCCCTCTCTTCCATTTGGACTCTTTTCCTCTCAGGGTATACACTAAAACTGTAATGGCAACGCTGCCAAGGGTGTAGAAGGTTAGGTTTTTACATGCTGTACATGTACCTTAGTTGTAATGTTCATAAAAGTATAAAAGTTGTTAAGTATTACAAGCAAGTTGAGGTTAGATCATCACGTGTCACGTTTTTGTTCAAGTATTCAAGTTTTTTTTAAGTCTCAAGAATGGAATTATATAAAATACCCAATAACTTAAGTTTACAAGGAAATCTAGCGGAAAACTGGAGAAAGTTTAAACAAAGTTTTAAAATTTTTATGAAGGCAACCGGGAAAGATGCTAAAGATGGTGAAACGAAAGTGGCTATATTCTTAAATATCATCGGAGAAGAGGCCGTAGAAGTTTTTAATACAATGTTTATAAGTGACGATGACCGCAAGGACATCGACAAAGTTATCGAAGCATTCGAGGGTTATTGCTTGCCGAAAACAAATGTGGTGTATGAACGTTTCGTTTTTCATAAAAGAAATCAATGTGAAGGTGAAAGTTTTGAGCAATTCCTAACTGATTTAACGAAATTAGCAAGTACCTGTGATTTTAAAACCCTTAATGAAGAAATGATACGCGATCGTGTTGTTTTGGGAGTGCAAGATTTAAATTTACAAGAAAAGTTGTTGCGAACCGAGGGCTTGACGTTACAGAAAACTGTTGAAATATGCAAAGCATTCGAAATAACAAAGGAGCAAATGAAGCAAATCAAGGACCCACAACTGCGAAGTGTAAATAAAATTGCAAACAAGAAGCCAATGGAGAAAACGGGTAACACCTCAAATCAAAGTTCGAATCGCAAAGAAGAATTTAAATGTAAAAGATGTCAAAGAACTCATGGACCAAGGGAGTGTCCCGCATACGGAGTTCGCTGCAGGCTTTGCGGAAATCTTATAGCGTTTTCGGCTGAATAAACTGCGAGTGGGCAATTCGCACCGTATTGACGTCACAGAGTGCTCTCGATTCTGAGAGAAATCAATCGCAGCCGAACACGCCTTTAACTTTGAGAGCGCGAAATTTATACTACTTAACCTCACATATAGTCACGTTAACCGCCGGAAAAGATGGAAAAATATTGTATATTTTTAAAAATTAACGAAGTTGAATTTACTTTATCACTGGACCAAGTAACATTTAACAGTTTAACCGGTAAGTTGTAAACAGAATTAGCTCAGCTAGCAATGATTATTTCTTTTTAATAGCTAATCCCACTGACTTACTCCCTGATTACATCAAAGTTTTGCAAGAAAATAATGCTCTGCAAGAAATTAATGAAATACGAACACTGGCTTTTTCACTTCACAATAAAACCTTTCTGGAAATAGGGATTCAACCTCCGGAGCCACAAGAAGATCGTGCTCCTGAACTAGAGATGTGGGACGAACAAGCTACAAAATTATTACTTGACAAGTACGAAACGTACTTGCCACTAGTTGGCCCATTAAGAAAGTTTAAGAAAAAAAAGCAGTTGTGGTCAGCTATTTCTGAAGATATAAAGAATATTTTGAATATACAAAAAACGGCAGGGCAGTGCGAAAATCGGTATAAAACCGTTCTGAAAAGAAAAAAAAATATAATAAAGACTAATCGAACGTCTGGCGAATCACCAAAACATAATCCATATGAAGAAGAGCTTTCAAGGATTGCTGCCATTGATGATTCTGTTGAACCACCTGTAAGGATGGGTGTGGGAAAGTGTATTATTGTTGATAAAAATAACTGTGCCAACAAAACAGAAGAATCACCATCATCATATCAAGAAGCAACATTTCCAAGCCGAAAGAGACCCGTGAGTGAAGTCCTTATGGAGATTGCAAAAGAAAAAGAAGAGGGACGTAACCGGCGTCACAAGGAAAAATTAGACTTGTTACGCAATTTAGCCGAAAAATTTTTCAACAAAACTGATTAGTATGTAACCATAGGAATTTAAAAAAACTACTGATTTTTCTTTATGCATTTTATATACCTTTTCCAAATAAACTGGTACACTTTATTCGTGGTTTAATAGGTCACAAATATACTGTCTTTTCAGTTCACCTAATCTACGCATTTCGTGTTCACGATCTGGACCAATAGCATTATCTTCCTCATTTGCGTTGACGATATCTTCACAAATATCATCATAATCGATGCAAATATTATGCAGTACACAACAACATAGGATAAATTGTGCCATTTTTACTACCTTATGAAAATCTAACCTGCCAAGTTGTCTAAAGCGCCCTTTTAAAAGCCCAAACGCATTCTCAATTTTAACTCTTGATGAACTTAATTTTTTATTATACTTTATTTGCTGCCGAGTTAAATTTCCGTAATCTCTGTACGGTGTAAGTAACCACTGCCTAATTGGGTACGCACTATCTCCAATTAAATGGTAATGGCCATTGTTAGATAGTGTTTGAATTTCGCTACTAATGAAAGATAATTTGAAAACTCTGCTGTCATGCAGCTTTCCGGCAGGTCCTGTAAATACATCTAAAAATTTTTTTTTAGCATCACAGATTCCCTGCAGTGTGATGCTAGGAATGTCGTGACGATTTGTATATGTCGACTTTATCTTATGTGCAGGCGTCCTAATATTTATATAGGAACCATCCACGCAGCCTAAAATATTGGGAAATCCAGATATCTACAAATGAAAAACAAAGTACAAAGGTACTAATAAAAAGCATTAGTTATTACCTGCTCAAATTCTGCAGCTACTCTTTCTTTCTCCAGATCTGTTTTTGGAAAACGAATGACTGTTGGTAGTAGATCCAATAAAAATGACATCACTCGTCGTTGAACTGAACTAAAGGTCGATAACGACATATTAAATCTATCGCCACTTTCTCTTATTGTGCAATTATTTCCAGCGTACCTGAAAATACATTTGTATTTCTATTGCGTACAAATTCTGTATAATTCATTACTCACCACAAAAAGCTCAAAATATGGCATTCAGCCGAGATTAAACTACTACCACCTTTATGTTCACTGGGATAAAATTCACTCCTGGCAAACTGCTCAACAAGTCTGTAGCATGTTGTTCGTTTTACACGAAAGTGACTTTTGAACTGTTAAATAAAACATTGTTAATACTGGACAAAGTACTGTACTAATCAATGTGCGACTTACCTACCTGTGAATCATTAAGTATGGAAACAACATTTTCGACATAATTGATAATTTTTGGAATTGGGTGCTTATGCATCTGATCCACTAATATCCCTATTTCCTGGTCACTTTCATCGCTGCTAGATGATTCTAACAATTCAATGGCAAATTCCATAAAAATGTTAAACTTTTGAAACTGTTGTTGTAATTGATCAGTCATTTTTATTTTGAACTAGAAAGTTGCTCTGCCTGCCCTAACTATCAACCTCAGAGCAAGAAAAATTGTAAATTGCCCCAAGAGCGAAATTCACCGCTCTTAAATGTCAGCCGAAAGCATCACTCTCGTAAAGAGCGCACTCAAAACACCAGCCGAACATAAAAATCGCTCTGAGGGCGCAAAAAGTGCGCACCAGAGCGTCCAGCCGAAAACGCTATTAATCATTTTGCTGTGAGTTGTAGGGTAACCAGTCAGAAAAATGTCAGGCAACTAGATGTACGAGAAAATTTCGAAGACGACGAGGAACTTGCCGTATTAAGTACGATTGAAACAAGAAACGTACACGAAATTTCATGGAATGAAAATGTCAAGGTCGAAGATAAATATGTACGATTTAAATTAGATAGTGGAGCGTGGAGCCCAGGTAAACATACTTCCGGAACGGATTTTCAAACAAATCAATCACCAGGTGGATCTTAGACGTACCGGCTTAATATTAGAAGCGTTTGGTGGAGCACAAATAAAACCTGAAGGTATTATGAAGTTAAAGTGTAAATGTAAAAAAGTGGAAGTGTTAGCTGACTTTGTGATAACGAAAGGAAACGTTAATCCCATTTTAGGGTTAAAGACTTGCGTAGAATTAAATTTAATTAATAGAGTGGAAATGGTTGTATTGAATGACAAAGATAAGTTTATATCAGATAATCATGATTTGTTTCAGGGCTTGGGAAAATTTTATGAGAAATGTAGTATAGAGTTACGAGATGATGTAAAACCAGTGGTCAACCCACCTCGCAGAGTTCCCTTGTCAGTAAAAGACAAATTGAAAGATAAATTAAAAGAACTGGAATGTAAAGGTATAATTAGTAAGGTCGAAAAGCCAACAGGTTGGGTAAGCAATTTAATAATTGTTGAAAAACCAGATAAAAGTATTAGATTATGTTTAGATCCTAAGTATTTAAATTTAGCAATGAAACGTATCCCTAATGTGCTAATTCCCACCGTTCAGGAAATTATGACAAATTTATGTAACAAAAAAGTATTTACAGTACTCGACTTAAAAGACGGGTTTTGGCAGATAGAGTTGACAAAAGACTCGAGTGATTTGTGTACTTTTAGCACACCTTTTGGATCTTATAAATTTCATAGAATACCATTTGGTATAAAGATCGCCCCTGAATATTTTCAGTACCTTAACGAAAAAAATTTTGATGATATAAGAGGAGTTACGGTTTATTTTGATGATTTATTAATTAGTGCAGATACAGAAAAAGAACATGATGAAATATTGAAAAAAGTTATAGAGAGAGCAAGGCAAATGGGTGTTAAATTTAACAAGAATAAGTTGCAATTTAAACAAGAAAGTGTTAGGTATTTAGGGCATATTTTTTCAAGTGAAGGGGTCAAAGTTGATCCTGAGAGAGTGAAGGCAATAGAGGGGTTAAAGGCTCCCGAATCTAAAAAAGAGTTACAGTCATTATTAGGCATGCTAAATTTCTTAAGACCATTTATAAGTAATTTGTCAGAATTGACTAGCTCATTAAGGGGCTTGCTGAAAGACAATGTTGTATTTGAATGGTTACCATGTCATGATGATGCATTAGTAAATATTAAGAAAGTACTTGCAAATTCTCCAACATTAGTAAGTTTTGATACTAACAAAGAAATAACAATTCAAGCAGATGCATCCCAACATGGGTTAGGGTGTTGCTTAATGCAGGAATTTAAACCAGTAAGTTACGGATCTAGAAGTTTAACAAATACAGAAAAAAATTTTGCGCAAATAGAAAAGGAATTTTTAAGTATAGTTTTTGCAACATTAAAATTTCACAATTATATTTATGGTAGGAAAATAACTGTTATTACTGATCACAAACCTCTTATAGGCCTGTTTAAAAAATCTATTGCAGATATAAGCTCGTCACGATTAAAAAGAATGAGGATTAAATTGTTAAACTATGACATCACATTAAAATATTGTCCAGGTAAACAAATGCACATCGCTGACTGTTTGTCTCGTTATAGCATTAGTAATTCACCGGTTGTAGATCAAGCATGGTTAGTTGAAAATGTTCATTCTATTAGTTGGAGCTTGAATATAACTAAAGAAAAAAGGATAGAATTTCAGACTGCTACTGAAAGAGATCCTAATTTACAGCAATTAAAAAACTACTATGTTAAAAGTTGGCCAAAATCAATAAAAGAGGTTCCTGATAATTTAAAGATGTACTTTAAGTTGCAAAATGAAATTGTTTTTGAAGAAGGATTATTGTTTTTAAATTTTAGAGTTATTGTGCCATTAGAATTAAGAAAGTATGTACTAAATTTATTGCATGAGCCACATTTTGGTTTAGAAAAAACGAAATGCAGGGCAAGACAGTTGGTTTATTGGCCAGGTTTAAACAAAGATATAGAGAATTGTATTACAAAATGTTCAGTGTGTGAATACTATCAAAGCTCGAATGTACGACAACCATTAATACCGCATAAAATTCCAAATCTGCCATTTAATAAAATAGCTGCTGATATATGTGAGTTTGGTGGAAAATCATACCTTATAGTACAGGACTATTTTTCTAGGTGGTTAGAAATATTACCTTTGCGTAATAAAACATCGGAGGAAGTCATAGGTAAATTTAAATCTTTATTTGCTACACACGGCATTCCTAAAATTCTTATTTGTGATAATGTTCCTTTTGGGTCATATGAATGTACCAAATTTTCAAAAGAATGGAATTTTGAAATTAGAACTAGTAGCCCCCGATATCCGCAAAGTAACGGGCAAGCGGAAAGAGCTGTACAGACTGCGGAACGTATTTTAAAAAAATGTAAATTTGCTAATATTGATAGGTATAGAGGTAGCATTATTGGAATATAGAAATTGCCCTATAACAGGGTTACATGTGTCTCCATCCCAATTATTATTTAGTCGTCGGCTTAGAACAAAAATACCAACACACACTAAACTATTAACTCCAAAGGTGCAAGAAAATGTGAGTGTAGAGTTAGAAAATAGGCAAAATAAATATAAGCATTATTATGATCGCACGGCACAACCTAGAAAAGAATTTAATAAAGGAGATTCAGTTACCATATGTAAAAATAGAGTCTGGGAGCCAGCAACTATTATCAAAAAGCATGATGCACCCAGATCCTATTTAGTTAGGGATAGTGAGGGTAGTATTCTTCGAAGAAATTCTATACTTCGTTCACCCAACAGAAATAGTTAAGCCCCTCCTCAACAATTACCGCCACATTTGAATACGACATTGTTATTGGTGTAATTTTTGAAGCCACAATCACACTTGTAAAGCGAATTGGCCGAATTGGGTAATCTGTCATCTTGCCTATTGCGTTTCTGCCGGTTTTTACGTTTTTACATCTTTACTTGCGTCAATTTGCCATTAATCTCCTTTATTCACACAAAATAGTCTTTATAAAGACTCGTCGGTGTATTCTAAAGATAGTCAGGTGAGTAATTATAAAATTTTATACACGATTTTTACATGCCTGTTTTTAGGGTTATATTATTCGCGATCAAGAAAAGTTGTACGCAAACATGAATGTCGCCGGTGCTGCTTTCTCTCCACCGAAAAAACGTTCTGCCAAGCACTTTTCAGTTGAAGACAAAACTGGCATTTTAAATATCTTCAAGGCATATTCGGAAGACAACCCGGAGGTATCTAAAACGGATAAAGTTGAGTTTACGGCTAAAGCAGCAGGTAATTTTCATCTTAGGCACATTCATTTTTACTTATTATTGTGTAATTTAGGTGTAAGCATTCCGAGTGTCTACAAGATTCTTCGGGAGTATACAGAGGTACACGAACTTCATTCACCTAAAAAATATTATCGACCACGAGCAATTTTGGACAATATTGATTCCGGAACTAAAAGTATTCTTCGACGTTTGCTTCATTCTTTCTTTGAAAGAAATGAACCACCTACCCTGAGTAAAGTTTTGGCAGTGTTACACGAAGACGAAGACTTACCCCATTTGAAACGAACTACTTTATGGAAATTAATAAAAGAAATAGGTTTTCGGTCAGTAAACCTTTTTTCTTTACGTGTATGTATATTATGTACTTGTCATTGTAGATTCGAAAAGAGGTCACGCAATAGTGTTCTTAAGGAAAAGGACGAAATAATTACTTGGAAGCGTCGGTTCTTGCGTGAAATTAGAAAATATCGTGAAGAAGGTAGGAAGTTGTATTTCCTAGATGAAACTTGGGTGAATGCTGGGCATACTGTAAGCAAAGTATGGAAGGACACCACAATTCTCACTCCAAGACAGGCATTTATCAACGGGCTATCAACTGGATTGAAAGATGCATCGGGCAAAGGAAATTGTTCTCCATATAGGGTCCGAGGATGGCTTCGTCGAGGAAGGTTTGCTGTGTTTTGAATCGAAAAAAACAGGGGATTATCACGAAGAAATGACCAGTGAAGTTTTTGAAAAGTGGTTTATGGAAATCGTTACACATCTTGATGAACAATCTGTGATTATAATGGACAACGCTTCATATCATAGCAGGAAAAGTGAAAAAATACCAAACACCAGTACGAAAAAAGCTGATATACAAACTTGGTTAACAAGCAAATCGATACCTTACGAAGAAGATATGGTAAGAGCTGAACTTCTACAGCTTGTGAAACGGGCAGCTGTTACACCAAAATATGTAGTTGATGAAATTGCAAAGGAACACAATCGTACCGTGCTGCGATTGCCTCCATATCACTGCGAATTGAATCCAATTGAACTGATATGGGCGCAAATAAAAGGTGAAGTGGCCAGAAACAACACCACATTTAAAATGAAAGACCTTCATCCACTATTTCAACAAGCAGTGGAACATGTTACTGCTGAAAATTGGAAGAACGCAATTCGCCATGCTCAAAGTGAAGAGGAAAAAAATGTGGCAAATTGACATTTTAATGGACATCGTAGTGGAGCCATTAGTAATTCATGTGGGAGATGACTCGACATCAACGGAGTCCGAATCCGAGTGAAGCGATACAGGATTTAAATTGTTATGTACCTTTGTTTATATTCACGTGCACTTGTAATTTCAAAACTTTGTGCTGCTGTAATAATACTTTTTTGTACTTTTCTCAATATAAACAGTGTTTTTATGTTGCATATTTACATGTATTTAACAGTTTGCAAGTTTTACTATTTTTGCCACGAGTTTTGTTCAGAGAGATAGCGCCATAATTAGTCTTGAACAAGTGACATTTCAATTTGATTTTTCAAATTTTCCGCTTTTTATAATTTTGTGGTTGTAAAACTGGTTGCTGCTTACATTGGCCCAAATTTTGTAGGAGTGGCTTAACTATTTCTGTTGGGTGAACGAAGTATAGTGTTTTACGAGCATCACAAAATGATTATAGTGACATTGGTAAAACTGTGCCTCAAAATGAAATAGACGAAAACCTTGTTGAGAAAGAGATTGTATCTAAGGTTGTTGAAGATAAATCTATTGTAACTAAAAATGGTCATGAACATAATAATGTCTCTAGTAGTATAAGTGACAGTGAAACAAAGGTAACCACAAGAAGTGGAAGAAATGTTAAGTTACCAGATAGGTTTAAAGACAGTTACATGTATTAAAAAAAAAAAAAAAAAAAGGGAAGATGTAATGGCAACGCTGCCAAGGGTGTAGAAGGTTAGGTTTTTACATGCTGTACATGTACCTTAGTTGTAATGTTCATAAAAGTTAATAAATATTATTTAAACAATTACCTATGATGTTTACAATAAACATTACAAAAACTTCTTCCCCTTCCTCAAAGACTCTCATTTTACCTCTACTCTTATCTTCGTTTTCCTTTACTTGATCATATTTCGTTTTTTTTTTCCTCTATAGGTTTCATTTTCAACATAGTCATTCTAGTTCTCGGATTCTGTTTTAACATCATGGATGCGGGACTAACACCAGTGACGCTGTTGGGTACGTTGTACGAGGTTTTAATAGAAAATTATCTATCAACAGTTGTATACTCTTATGAGTATTCTTCACTTCCATTTCATGTACTTCTTTCAGTAGGCACTTCTTTATGGATTGTACTTGCTTTTCAGCCATTCCATTAGAGCATGGCTGTAATGGTGGTGAGAATATACATTTAATTCCATTTGACTTGCAAAATTGTTGGTACTCAGTTCCAAAGAAAGGAGGACCGTTATCGGATACCATTTCTTCTGGGATACCAAAGTAGGTAAAACTTTTTGACGTAGTTTTTCTATTGTTTTATTCGCCCCTGTTCCATTACGCATAAGGTATAAGTCTAGCCATTTGCTACGACCACGGTGAATAATAAGAGAGGTGGTCCGACAGCCTGCATAGAACGGCGACTTTACTGAAGCACGGCACGTATCCTGGACGTTAGAGTGAGATAGCGGCAAAGGGTCTAGTCTAGGTAGTTTGGCGCGTAAAGATCGCGGTATAACACTTTTGTGTTGATCTTGATTTTATACGTTGCAAATATAATAAAAGTAGACCATTATAATAAAAGTACAACATGGGTAGATCATGTTGCGTGCCAAAGTAGTGGTTACGCATCAAATAAACAATAAAGGTTTCGTTGTTTAAAATCACAAAAGATCGACTATTACAGTGGAGTACAAAAATTCAAAGGGAAGATCGGGATTGACTACTAATGATTATGTATGTGAAAAACATTTTCCGCAAACAGATATCATTCGTGAACTAAAGAATGAAGTTTATACGGTATGTTTGTGTATAATGCTAC